ATCATTATCGAAACTAAAAAAAAAAAAAATTCTCATTCTGATATGGGGGGGAAAAAATGGCATCTCAAGAAACTTTGTGTTCGCTTGCTAACTTTGCTTTCTATCACTTTTGTGATGCAAAATGCAAACGCATTCAGTACAAAAGCACAGAAATGTAATTCTTCCATCTCATATTTTTTCCATCACCGTGTCCCTTTAGGGTATCTGTAGATTTATGATGTCATACATCTAAAATATTAATAATAACACCTACTGGCTGTGCAGAAATGTTCTTGCCCAATTATGATGAGGTGATAAAAGAAAGTAGATACTATTCATAAAAAAAAAAAAAACTTGATACTGACAATAAAAGTCATGCTGGTAAATAAATAAATTAAATAAATCCTATTTACTTTTCTAGTCAGGAGACTAGTTTCTAGGCAGGAAATATACCCTCTGTTTCACAGACAAGGCTTAAGCTGGTCCCAGACCAAAATACATGTTTGAGCTGTCTAAGCTGAAAATATCTTGTTCTGACATATCTTAAAATATGTCAGTGTCATTGTTCTGTGACAAGATGCACACCTGTAATGTCTGCAATTTCTTCTAAGGCATTTTTGTAAAAGTTGCTTAAATATCTTAATTTAACTAAGGCCTAGTCCTGGCTTAAGCTAAGCCCCGTTTGTGAAACCGGGCCATTTATTCGTACAAATTTATATATGGACCTAAAAAAGAAAAGTCATCAGCATTTTAACTATCTTCCAAGAAAAAGCTGTAAATTTCAAATGTGTGTACTGTACACTATGGATGAGCTCAAAGCTATAGATTAAAAAGCCACAAAGTTCCAAATTTGCATTTCATTGAGCATATCATTTTATATTTATTTGCACTGACCACTGATCTAATTTAGCTTGAGCTTCTTTAAATGTAAAAGCACACATGCCCTGATGTTCATAGTGAAAGCATTGAGTTTATATAAACAGCATGTCAGTGTACAGAGATGCAGCACAGACAGACTGAATGTGCTGCAGATCGATGGGTTTCGTGTATCTGCGTGTGTTGAGCTGTACTGAAAATCATCCAACAAAAGGAAGAGCTAATGCTTTAACTAGATCAAACCTTGTTTATAAAAAAAAACCAAGCATTTATCTTTATGTGTGTGTTTGTGTGTGAGAGAAACACAGATTAATGGCAGCATCACTTCAGCTCTTCTGTGGATGATGCTGGAGTCACATTCTCTTCTGGTCCTTCCTGAAACATACAGAACCAAGAGATAAACACACGGTTTTATATCATGCTGGATATATTTATATATTAATTCTTCTGTTCTATATAAAATCTTTCATAGATAGTTCATGATAGATCATGAAACCAATCCAATGAAATAGCCTTTAATAAAAGGGTACATTAAATAGATCTCACAGCCCTAATTTGCTAGAAATTATTACAGTGGATTATTTTAACTTGGGCATTTAAAAAAAAGTAAGAAAAAAAATTATGTTGGCACTTATAATTGGAAGTAAATAGGCCATTTAGAAGTTTTTACTGTATTTACTGACAATATAAGTAAATAAAGTAAATATATATAAAATATATATTTTGTAAAACATATATTGCGGGAAAACATTACTCCATATACTTAAAATATTTATTTTTCTTTTATATTTAATTTAATTTGTAAATGTATTTATTTATAAAATGTTTATGCCAGATGCATATATGCTATTTATTTTTCAAAATTTCTAGTCAGAAGCATTTATTTCTCAATTCTCAAATTTTTGCTATCATTATAGTAACATTCAGTCATGGCAAACACAAAGTTCAACACTCACCTTCACCTTTTCCAACTCTGACCCCCCAGGCAGTGATTTCTGCGGTATGTGGAAGGCCTAACATTGATCAAAAGATAGTTATTCACTCAAATAATGCTGGCATAGTGGTCCATTAACATGCATTCTTGCAGCACTGGTGTTAATAATCTTCAGTACTCAAGGGAACAAGTTTCCTTTTAATGTCTGAGGCATCAAAACAGATGTGTAATGATTCAAATAGCTGCTATAAACATGTCAAAAGTTCAAGAAACTTGTTAGTCTCTTTGAACTGTTTGAACTGATATTAGAAATCCTTTTTTCCTTCCAAAATAGTGGCAAAAATCTCATTGAGCATCCAATTGTAGTGTTAACTACACTAGATTTTCCACACACAAAAAAAAAACAATCAGCTGAAGTAAGCACATGTGCATTTATATTTATGCAACTATCAATTATTTATTCATTTGTTGATGTAGAGGTTGTCTCCACCTTTTTAGCTTGCTGGACTTCCTCTGTAGACTTCGACCTGCTTTTCACCGTGTGTCTCTGGGGTGAAGTGGACTGCAAAGAAACACCACACACGCGAAGAAAAATTCAGCACTTTAAAATTAGCAGCCATTTTCTGCCAGCTCAGCAGGTTTTACTCACCTTCTGATCCATGATTTAGCCTTAACTGAGTGTCTCCTCAAACACAATCTGCCAATCTACCCAAGCAGCTGCCAGTGAGACAAAGAAGAGAAAGAAGTGGTTATTATACACGATATATGGAGCTGAAGTGTGTAGTGTCTCATTAACACTAGAGGGCACTACAGTGTCTAAAGAGAAACTATCAACGTTCAACAAGTTAACCATGTAAAGCCTGTAAAATAATAGACTGTATTTTTAAAGGAAGAGATTAAGAAACTATTGAAATTCTGATAGCTTTTAGTATAAACCAATAAGATCTCTATAAGAGTATAGCAAACTACTTAAAATGATATCAGTTATATGTATGTGTGTGTGCATGTTTATGTGGTTTATGAGGACACACATTTGTATAATAACATGGGTCTGACATAGGTATTACAACGAGAAGGTGATTTATGAGGACATTTTCAGTGTCCCCGTAATTCAAAAGGCTTATAAATAATTCAGGATGAGTTTTTTTTTAAATCTAAAATGCAGAAAGTTTCCTGTAAGGGGTAGGGTTGGTGTAGGGCAATAGAAAATACGGTTTGTACAGTATAAAAACCATTACGCCCATGGAGAGTCCCCATAAACCATAAAAACAAACCTGAGTGTGAGTGTGTGTGTGTGTGTGTGTGTGTGTGTGTGTGTGTGTGTGGACAATCAAGTAAAGCTAAGTTGCTTCAGTCCAGTAAGTGTTCATCTCGAAATATTACTAAAAATATCAAAGTTATTCTCACATTTACTTTACAAAAATCAGTAAAGATTTCACAGCAAAAAGACATGAAGCACAGAATGAAGGTGGAAGTTTGCCCAATTATATTGAAAGGCCTTTTACTTGCTCAAAGCATATAAAATAAATAATTATCAACAGAAGGTATGTGTACAACAGGTTTTTTTATTTTTTTACAACAGCCATTGACTTCCATGGTATGAAAAAATATACTATAGTCAATGGCTACTATCAGCTGTTTGGTTACAGCATTTTTCAAAATATCTTCTATTGTGTTGAAAGTTTTGGTCATATTCATAACTAGAAGCCTTTTGCATATCAAATACAGTAATAAAGTAAACTTCAAGGTTTAAATTATACCACACAGCTTTGTCAGTGACAACACTGAATAGCTGTTTTTAAAAACACAAAAAAAGTAATGCAATTGAAAGAGCAAACCGATCATTTAGAAGGAGTTCACTTTAAAAGAAAAAAGTTTTGATACTAAAAAGCAAAAATGCTTGTTTACACATGGCTATACATGGCCACACCAGCCTTGTGGTAATATTTAACGTTGATGTATAAAGATTTGCTACACATGGACTACTTTTATGCTACTTTTGTGTGACAGTACAAATTATTGTATGGGAAAATAGCAGCTCTGACATTGAACCTAATACCTGCTTTTTACATTTCATGCCAAAAATTCGTAGCTGGAAGACCTTGAGGGTGAATTAATGCTTATGTGTGTGTGTGTGTGTGTGTGTGTGTGTGTGTGTGTGTGTGTGTGTGTG